CCCCCCCCCCCCCCCCCAATTACCCATCGTCCGGTGTCCGGCGTTGCAACCATGGACGACGTCGTCAACGCGTTGGAACGTTTCCTTCGTGCTAACGTATACGTGAGGAGAGTACAAGCCCGCGCTGCACAGTCGGTTCGTCGTCGCCTGTCTTTTGTGCATCTCCGTCGAACGTGTCTCTGACTTCCACGCAGACTTCAGGCGTGGTGGGGGTCGAAGGACAAGATTCAGATGATGACGATGATGATGATCGACGGATGCCGCCACCGCTGGAACCGATTCCTAACATTCAGGTAAACGATAGAGCGGTTATCCGCCTTCCATTCGTTCCGTTCAATCGATATGTGTATGTACTTGTACGACGAGCCGTGACATATGTAATACAAAGACCGCTTCACCACCCATTTCAGTCCCTAACGCAGTGGCCGTCGCACGTAAAATCGCCCGAGCAAGGTTGGCCAAGCCCGCAGCGTCAGCTCCCCCATCCCTCTGCCGGCCTGACGGGCCCCTTTCAATGACCCTGTACGCATACCAGCTCGGGAGATGGATAAGAGGGTGGGGAGAGAGGGCGGGATGCTGCAGGCATCCTGGTGTCAATCCCACCCGACCATAACCTCTTCCGGGAGATCTTCGCGCGATGGCTCCTTAGGGAAGATCACAGACCCTGAGCAACTGAGTATTGACCGCACAGGTCGGCCAAGGCAACTGCCACACGCGGAAAAACTACTCGCGCGGCCCAAGATATAGTACATACAATTGCGAGCGAGATGCTCCGGTTCATTCAATTGATACGCATGTACAACTATGCTCAACGAATGGACGGCCACTTGTTCTATGGAGAGGTGCAGTCGGCGCAGAGCTTCAGAGCATCTCGCTATCATGGTCATACTTGCTCCGTTTCTCTCTTCCAGGTGTCATCACCCCCGCGTCTGAGTGTATCCCCTCATCCTCGCTACGATCACGCTTTCTCGAGAGGGGATAACTCTGGGCGAGGGGATCGTCCATGTGGGCGAGAACACGATCCTTCAGCAGGATGTCTATTGAAGTCACTGAGCTTGTTTGTTCACCCAAGAGCATAGGTGGAAGCCTTACCAAGAGGCCGGTAGTGAAATCGAAACGTGGCATAGGGCGTAGAGGGGCTATCGATGTAAGCCGAATGGGTGCGAAACAATCCATTATGAGGCCGGTAATCACCGAGACTGCGGGTATACTGAGGTGAGTTCTCAGATGAAGAATACGGCGAGACTCACGAGACTCCGTGCCAGCCTACTTTGTCCAGTTTCTTGGGAACAGGGCCTAAATGGCGCTGCACGTTCTTGTAATAGCCTTGATCAGGCTGTTCACCATCGCGTGTCACGATCGCGCGCCAGACACGAATTTCGATTAGCCCAAGTTTGGATACGTCAAGCTCATGGCCTTCGTCGTCATCTTCTGCCAGAACAGGGTCATGAGAGGTTGCAAAGCTCGATGTTGTATAACTGTCACAAACCTGTTGTTTCTATATTGCTGAACACGAAAGGCCGAACGCCCACGGAGTCGTATACACCCTCCATGACAGCGGAGTCCGAAAGTGGGGAAACAGCGTAGCCTTGCATGTAACGGCCATCTACCCATACTTTGAAGCATAGAGGATCTGCTGAATGAACCTCCTTCGATCGCGCCAGCTTTACATGGAACGCCTGATGGAGCTCTTGAGCCCAGTACCTCACTGAATGACGAATCACGCACCTCTCCAGCAATGCTAGGAACGAAGGCGTCCATAGTATTGCCGCAGACAAGACGAGCTCGATGAAGGGGATAATCCTTCCCACTACGAGCCGAGACCAGCGTCACTGTGAAGTTGGGCCTGGGAGACATGTCGGGTAAGCTCATCGTGCGGCCGAGGTTACTCGAGATGGATGGTATTGTGACGACGAATCGAAAACATTGCTGGATAATTATACTGGCAGAGTAGCATGTGCCGGAGGGTCCGGAACGGAGAAAACAAAGAGACAAAGACCCGATTCGCGAGATGCCGATGATCGACGCAGGAACAGAGATGCACAAAGAGCGCTACGGGCTGCGGCAACGACCGCGCGACCGCGCCAAGAGCTCTCCCACGTTCGGGCAGCAGCTTTTCTATGGCATACGATCTTACTTAAGCACTATGACTTGCTTTGTCTGCAGCCAGGCGGGCCAGCTCGGTTGCGTGCCGCAACATCCACATGGATATATTGTATAGCCATCGCAATGGTGGTACGCTATAACTAACGTACTTTCGAGACGCGCGCGAGGTTCCAGACTACAAAATCTCCAAATCCTCAATGTCTAAACCCGAGGGTGGTGATCAATATACATTGCCTCGTGGCCTGTGGCATTGCCGTCCGGTCTGAATCACAAACGAACAAGATGTTGATAGCAACCTCGTACAAACACCAGACTTCTGCTACAGATGACATGATCAAGTGTCGACCACTTAAGCCGTTCATTCCTGACCGTCCAAATACTACCGCCTATGAAGAATCGCCATGCGCTGTACAGACGCGGGAGGCAACCGCAGTCTGTCTTGCAACCCAGGCCTTGAGTAGACGAGGTGGAGGACCGTCGCAAGCTAACGCGGTGGGGGTGACAGCCTACTTAACAGCGTAAGCATAGGTATAGATGCTTCATCGCAGGCGTCGACGCACTAGATGCCATGCCCACGCAACTCTCTCTGCTACGCCAATGGCGATATGACAGCCATTCGAGTCCACATAACACTCAGACCCGTGTTCAAAGCACTCCCATAGCGCTTTTATATGTGCAATTGCCGCCATCAACTCGATAGCGTCGAGGGAGCGCGGCGCGGGCTGGAGGCGCTGCATGAGAGCATGAGCTGATGGAGTTAACGATACTTTGTGAATGAACTGACCAACTCCCTCAGCAAGCACTCTAATAGTATGCCATCGTTGGTGGAGTAGCTCTAAGAAAGGGGTGGATGAGTCTAAAGATCCCATATAAACTTAACAACGACGACTTGCCGAAAAACGTGACACATCCGCTGTACAGCTGGCGGGCCTCTTGCGGGAGTGTGCACGGAGGAGTCGGTGCTACACATGGTAAGATCAATGTTAGCCGACATGGTGGCGTTGATATCAGAATACGATACCTTGTGCGAGCCAAGAGGACGGCGAACTACGGATTTCTGTGACATTTCGGATGGTGCTGAGGAAGCCATTATCGCTCTAAGCGGAGATTCGCAAGACGAAAAGTTGCGAGTGACTTAGTAGGCCGTAGGTCGAGCGAGGATTAAATAGCGGAGCTCCTCGCCAGCAGAACTCGGGTCCGGCATGATGGGATCAACCGTAGGCCAAAGGACACAAAGAGCATAAAGAGCAGAGACTCGGATCGTCGGTAATGCGGAAGAGCTGCTCAACCCGGCCTTTGCCGATTCAGACGCGTACTTTCCAAAGACACCTTTGTCTTCATAAGCGAATGCGAATGCGATCGCCGATCCGAGATTTCCGGTGCGCAAGCTACCATAGTCATGGTGGTCATGGGAAGAAAGAAGACTGGACGCGGGGATCGGGAATCTCCGTGTTCTCCTTTCCACTTCGTTTCTTCACGCGGTCACCATACCCGCGCGGCGCGTTTCTAGGGTGCTTCCGTCTACCCATTCTATCGCACTTGTCCGCAATGTTCGATGCTTTGTCTCTGTCTCCTGAGCTTGTACTCGGTGCCTGTTGAGGGTCTGCCTTGTACGACCCTCGCGCCGTCTTTATTTAAGCCAATATGGCTGTGCGACAATCATGAACAACAGCAACCCACTGCAGTCCGGCACCAGCAGTATGTCATGCTATCGATATAGCTCATAGACACCCTCTCATATACCTATACTGTGTAGCCTACATGGCTTCAGCACGATACCGACCGCACCCGCTCCCTCTTGATCTCGCAAACCCGCGCCTGGGTACGTGCGATATCGGTCGATCGTGCAGCCGTTTTTCTAACAATTCGCCCTTGTTGTAGCCTCCAACGATGCATACGCTGTGAAATTCCAGGAGATTCTGCGCGACGGGGAGAGCCTAGTGATTGCTCGAGTCAAGGTTTCGACACCCATCGAGCACGCTTTTGTACTGCGGCGGTTGGACACTGGGGCAATCTCGTTGACGTCGATGTTCCGTGCTGCATTTCCCGGCGCGCCCTTGAACGCGGAGAAAAATGAATGTCGTTGGGTCAAGACCGCCTACGATACCTCTGGCGCGAATAGGGAGGGCGGAGCGCTTTTCTCTGGAACATGGGTCCCTACGGCGGTCGCGCAGGAACTTGCCCCATCCTATCGCCTCGATCATGTTTTAAAACTCCTATTAGCGGCAGAGCCAACGCCCAGTCTCGAACTCTATCGTGGTGCACGTACCATGACCGAACCGCGAAGCAGCATCCCCGCCCGAAACACTTCAAGGCCGCGTTATCATGGGTCAGTTCACACTGCTGAACCCCACCTGCCGAATGTAAGCCGGCGTGGGTACGCCAAAGCGCCTACGCTTGTTCCCCGTAGGACCCCAGTCGGTGATTTGTCTACCACTGGTTTCCTGCCGGCGCCGACTGTCTCGGGGCGCGCCCCTCGTCATGCTTACAACGGAGTTGCTGGTCCTATCCTTCACGCCCGGGACACTGACGGCGGGCGGTACGTAGTTTGCATACTTCCTCCTCCCCATTCCGACTTATCCATGCCATGATAGGTCGTCAGGCTCGGATGCCCGAGCAGTTGGTCGGCGTTATATCATTTACTGGGATCTCGTCGTAGCGGCCGTGCTGAGCGCGATTCTAGCGTTAGTCTGCTACCGTGTTCTGTGCTAGTGTGTTCTTATCAATACAAGACAACTTGCGTACTCCCTTTCCCAATCCCCCCCTCTCAGTTGTCTACTTGGATACACGCCGAAGTATTCAGGCGAAGAAAATTTGTCCGTATCCCTTTTACATGACCAATATGATATAAAGGACGTGGGACATGCCTGGTCCGACCTAGAGGTCACCATCCACAAACAATATTGACTGGAGTATGTAGCCCTGCGTGCCGCGGGGCCAACCTTGCTTGGAAGACGCTGGCCAGCATGCGTGCTTTCAATAGCGCGCGTAGTTGGTCTTGCGCTAGTCTTTACCTAGCTTGTCTCCTTCACTCTATCACGAAATCGAATGTGCAGCGCCACCGCACCCTCAGATAGCTCAGGATCCTCAGATATCTTTACGTTTGTTTGCCCACAGTAGCGCATAGGAACACAATCACGCGAATACGTGTTGCTGCGACTTCGAAGACGCATTCGTGCACGAAATGTCCTTCGTCGACCCCATATCGCATGACTGGCATCACTCAGATCCTCGGCGATCCGACGGCGTGTTCACGCACTCTTTCCTCTCCCCGCACAATTACCACTAGCAGCACTCGCCCGTCGCAGGCAAGCTCCTACAGGCCAGGATCATGCCCGGTTTAGCCACATAGGATCGGAAGCATCGCCCAGCGCGCGTCGCCCGGATACGACCGTGTGACTGCACACGTGTTGGACGAACGTCGTTTAATGAGGTTCACTGCCGCACACATCGACGGCCAGCATGTTCACAGCAAGTGCTCACGCCGTGCATATTGATTCCAAACCCGTCAAAGCGGATGTGCGAGGCACAACAGCTCATAGACCTACCTCTGATCAGCCTGACATCGCGCCTACTACGAACCGCAAGTGCACCTTCTGGCTGCAGCGGCGTCTGAAGGGTGCCCATGTGCTCGGTTATACGTCTACCGGAGGTTCGTGCTTACTCCGATCGTGTGAAGGTTGTGTTGGCTCATTCCGTAATGCTAGGACAAAGAGACAAAGAGCATAGCTGTCCACGTGCGCATATGTCTTTGTGCTTTCTTGCGGCATCACCCGAGAAGAAGCGTTTCCAGTACCACGCTCAAGATGCATACGGCCCGATGTCCACCGGCGATCGCCAGTCTCCTACGCCAAAGAACACTCGGGGCCGCGCTCGCGGCGTATTATAAGCAGAGGACAGCACCTATCTCGGACCTGTGCCCTTGACGATATCCTCTCGCATTGCCTATCCGATGTTGCTCCCCTCCTTTCGCCTCCATTATGACCCGAGCCTACATCGTGCGCTCTTCAAGGATACCGAACTCGTCGTCCCTGACCTGGACGTGGATGTACTGGCATCTATCGTGGCGGACCCTGCTGATGCAGCGAATGCTCTGCTTGAGTCGTACCGACAACGAGCGCCCGCCGACGTTAACGAAGAGCTGGAAAGTCGCATTCGTGCTATTCTTCATCTGCTCCGGTTCCGCATGGACGACATCCCATCCGACTTGGAACGCGAGCGGGTTCTGCGAGTAGTTGAAGAGCATCGGGTTATCCCACTGCTTCTGGAAGTACTATCCGACAAGGCGTTTTTCGAAGAGAACTTGGTGAGGTTGAGTCATGCGCGTGGAGATGTATTGCTTATGCCGGTGTATCTTCATATAGAGCTTCGTTATCGATATCCTCAACATGGTTTATCACGTCTTCGCTATTGCCCACCATGCCTCCTTGCCGCTCGACCCCTACTTTGCCGCTCTAGCATCCGGCTTCTGTGATAGCCTGCTCCAGCAGCGCGCGTGGTTCGAGGACGTCCGGAATAGACTGGCTGGCACCTCGCACCACGAGGAGGCCAACCTCCGCATCCGCAAGGCACTTCTTCCCAATATGCTCCTTCTGCTATCCGAGTGGGTCGTCTGGCTCATATTGCACGTTACGGGTCTCGTCTAACATATCACAGGGGACCTTTCCTCCAAACCCACGGCCTACGTCAAGCCTGCCTTCTTTGCTGGATTACAAGCCCCTCCCTCGAAGATCCCGAACACGTCACCCCAATTCTGGCCCTTGCGTTGCTACAGTATGTGCTCGCGGGCCCTGACGATCAATATCCTACGCATCGCGAACTACAAGATGCGTTTCGCGCTGCATTCGACCAATATATCATCCCTTCATACGGCGCCGCACTCTACTTGCAACAGGCGGCGAAGATGTTGCGCAATCAGGATTCCCTCGGGGATGACATCCTCGAGCTCATCTTACCCGTTATCACTCTGTCGATTCTGTGCCACCCGATGTTGCTCACAGACCCCGCACTATCGGACGTGCTTATAGCGATGCATGATCTCTTCATCCATCCAGCGATACAGGCCGTTCATCGCCGAGAGCGTCGTGTCGCATTCGAGTTTCTCAATATATGCATGTATGTGGCCTGCCTCAAGGATCATACCCTAAGCTCCAAGCTAACGTTATCGCAGGCGCCTTATACCATCCGCTCAGAATGGACCCGAGTATCGACCCTCACTCACCACGATCACTCGCAATGGACGACTCTTTGAAGTCCTATCGCGGGTTCTTTGCATCTTTGTCACGGATCCTTCCATGACATCCACCGCCAGTGCCGCTTCCGACTACCGTAAGTCCTCGAAAAATCTTCTTCGCATTTTGATCACCGGACTAAGCACGAATCAGGTCATTGCCTGGAGTACTTGAATACAGTGGGCGCGTGGGCTCTAGTGGTGAACACAAAAAGGACGAGGAATGCTACTCGAAGGGATATGCGGAGTGTGTTGCAGCGAAGTTGGTCTCCGACCCTTCGGCTCTTACACGATACTCTGCGCCAATCAAGGTGCACAGACGAGCATGACCGCTTAATCCAAGGTTGGACTGCATTAGGAGACGCTTTGGGGCTCGACAAGGGCGAGTTCGAGGCCAACCACCGAAAGCCAGAACACTGCTGCGCGTGGAGGAGATGCCGCCATCACTACGAACCATCCGCTGAACGATTGAAAGCTTGCAAGGGCTGCGGGGAAGTTGTGCGTTATAACACCTTTCTCACATACGCAATAACGACTAATCCCAGACGCAGAGGTACTGTGGGCGCACCTGCCAACGCCTGCATTGGGATGATAACCACCGCCGGGAATGCAAGAGGATTGGCTGGTCGGGGCCGGAGTAAGACCTGTACTCTTTGTTGGGAAGATACGTATATCGTATGGCTGAGGGCTCGTATAACTGGATGTCAAGGATGTCCCTACCCAGAATAAGCGCCCAACCTACCCAGAACAAGCCCCAGTCGTTACACCGTCTTGTTTATCCGCTGACATGAATATGAATCTTAAATGTATGTACCCCACTCGTCATTCTGAGCGGGGTATGTGGTTCCCTAAACTTGAAAGCATATGTTATCTTACGATAGAGAGGAGCTGAGCAGTCCGACCAGAGGAAATGAGCCGCGATGATGCAAGGTGGCTTGTACTCTACGAGATGACGACCGTCGTGCAAGGGACCCCCACGAACTACTATGCAGTGACCGCCGATAAGACCTTGTCTAGTCCGGGGAGTGGTTGTTGGATCAGTAGGTTTGCTCTGAGCGTACTCTATTACATGATCGAGTCTGCCGTGCGTAGGCGCCTCGGCTCGGGTGAAGTTGACGCCGCCTTCATAGCTCTTCTAGGTACACCCAGATCTACACATCTGTCGCCAACTTGCTTCTCGAAGAGCTGATTCATTCTTAAGAATCGTGTGGCGTGTAACGTACGTCTGAAGCGCCTCCACCGCACGTCCCGCCCGCAGAGAGTTCTACAGATGCACATGAAATTGAGGAATTAAAGGAAGTAGACAGACAATGACGTCAGGCCATCCTCTGTGCCATCGCGACTATGTACACACTGAGAGGCCAACTTCAAGATATCACCGTACAAGGGTATCTTGTGCGGTTTGAACCACACAAGGGCACTACAGAAAGAGCAGCGAGGTCTGAATCGCACGCCGGAGCGTCCGAGCGCACGTATGTAGTCTTCGTCAACGGTCGGAGGTACAGTGCTCATGGAAATAGGGAGCGTGTTTGCGACGGCGGCCTCCTCAACCCGCTTCTCAAGCAGCGCCCGAAAGACTGTTGACAGACATGCGTAGCATATTCTGTGATGGCACGGCTCCATCCTATAAGCGCCCATCAGTTTGAGACGACAAACGTTGGGTGTATACGTACAAGAAAATATCTACAGACAGCGTCTGACATTGTTGGCATCGAAAGGAGACCCCCCGGTCTTTGTCAAACTGCGAGTAAAGAGTCAGTTAACCCGGCAACAGGAACGGGTGCTTATAGTCACGTACTGATGATGCAAGCATAGATCGTATACGGAAGATACCATCGAGGGCGAGACGGACGTCTGCACGCATCCGGTCACGATGAAGACGCTCACAACGATTCTGTCCATCAAGGGTCAATTCGTACTCAGAGCGTAGGAGGAGCACATCCCAGCTACCTGGTTGGACTGAGACGGGCGCGCAGCCTTCGATCGCGTGACCATACTATGCTCAGCCGGGCGGGACTCTGGTATTCCTACGGCAGATAAAGACGATGTATAGGTCTTTAGGGCCTTCTCGAGGCGCATGATAGTGCTGTCAAGTAGAGCATCCATGATGAGAGAGAAGACAGACCGAACAGCGCTCAAAGTGGTCAGGAAGGCTGCCTTTATGGATTCTGGGTCGAGGAGATGCGTTGAAAGAGCCAAAGGACAACAAAGAAGGCGATTGTCAATGATAGTATACCATACGGCAAAGTGCGCGACTCACGAAGATCACAGCCCACGGATACGATTGATCCATCGACACGCCTGGTGAATATGCCATTCACATTGAACGAGAAGCAGGCTAGACCGACTACGGAAAGTAGGCGAGCTGCTGTGGCTGGTGACCGTTCGGACGCAAGAGCTCTGGGGCGAATGGTGTACACACGTGGCGACCGCGAATGCGCTCGACTCTGCACTCGGGTGATACGGATCGTTATTGATGATCGATTTGCATCTGCCGTCACCCAAACCTAATCACCGGGCTTCGGAGAGACCCTTTGGCCCGATCTGGGTCATCAGGCACAGCTAGCTCATCATCGCACACGACCACGGGTATCCTACTATCCCTTGAGTCTAACAGGATGTGTTCCAGTCAGAGGCTCGCAGCTCACTCCTACCTGACTTGCACTGCTTGACAAAAAGTCTTCCTACGAGCCAGACGCGACGACACGTTGAGAAAAACAAATACCGCCACATACCACCGCGCGTCTCGTTCCCGTTCTCCCGGAAATTGGAGCATAAAGCAGGACGAGTGCACGGGAGATGCCGAGTGCCGTTCTTCCGTTTCGGAAGGTCGTGCGACTTGAGCGGTCTGCGCTGATCATCGATCATGCTACAAGCTCGGCGGACGCGCCCCCGTATATCGCAGTGTTGTCCTCCAAGTATCTCAATGATGAGATGGCCACGCGCTCCCTCGCATAGCCTTGAGCGGATAAATAAATGCATCCGCCGCTCAAGTGATCCCATTTCACCTCGCCCGCTATCTCAAACTAGATGGAAGTGTCCCGTTCATCCATCAAGGACAGGCAGTGTGTATCTTTGTGCGGTGCGTTCATATCCGATCCGGTCCAGTGCGTCTCTCGACCGCATACCGACCTGTCACGTATAGAGACATCTCCTCGTCTTCTGTTCACTGTCGTCGATGTTCACAACGCTAGCCCCACTGCTCTCAAAATAATCCGTGCCGGCGGCGTCCCGGTCCCCGAGGATATAGGCTGGGACTTTCCACCCTCTTTGCCATTGATATCTGCGGTTCCTGAGAACGTACTGGAACCTGCGTTGGGTCTATGTCGGACGCCCAAGCAACTACGAGCGGCCAAGCGATCTCTGATCGCTAAGTGGCCCCGAACTCGCCGTTACAGAACGCTGCAGTCCACCGTCTCTTCAGACGTATCGACTAGCCACCACTCGACCTGCCCCCATAGTACCTTTCAGTCGAAATCTAGAAGCCCGCTCCCGGTCGACGGGCAGCACATGGGTAGTGCAAGCTCTGCCACGCACATGGCGGGCGGGGCTGTATACTTGGCCCATGATGGTCTATGGGATGAGGAAGCACTTCGCCATACACAACCCGACTTCGCATATCAGCCTCACCGCGTACATGACCATGCTTCTGGTCACGACGAGCATGTGCCAGTCCACAATGCCGAAGCGCATCGTACATCTGAAGCGACAGCGGGCAACATGCTTGATGGTACGCTCGCCGCGGAATTCGCTCGCTTCGTTGCCGAGACGCTTGCACAGCCCCTTACTACCTTCGTTGGCGCGCATACGTCGCCGGACTGGCTCGCTTTCCCGCCGCTATCATCTTATTCCACGGCCGCGAGGAGTGCACCATCGCAATTCCCGGTATCTTCTATACTGCCCTCTGCCTCGGTAGCAACATCTGCGGCACCGCCTGTGTCAATTCCATGCACTTGTGAGATGTCTACACTCGCTACGCCGGCGCTCACACTCTGGTCCGAAACGGTATGCCATCTGTCTTCCTCTTGGTGACCACGAACTCATCTATACCAGGACGTGTATTCTCACTCCGACAGTGATGTACTGTTCCCACCCTTGTGGCCATCCATCGAGGCGGCGATGTTTTCAGACGCTTCTGTCGACTCTCCGTGTTGCCCTTGCCAGGAAGGAGCTGGTACCGGAACTCCCTCGGATGGACTCACCGTGGACGACCAGTCTAGCCTCCGTATCGCAGCCCCGCAGCTTTCGGCGTCCAACGCTAATACTCAGTGGTCGCTCTTCGACAAACCTAAGCCGCCCCCCATGTCCTCCGCTTTGGCTGCGCAAGACGATGCATATGGGGCTTATCCATCTCTGGTCGGGGCTCAATCGTGGCCCTGGCCGTCGGCCTCAGCGATCGAACATCACTTCGAGCATTAGTAAATCTGTTATCATCGGGATTAACAGCCGGCATTGGAACAGGGTCGACTCCTACCTGCTGCACATTGTGATCTGATGCGTTCACGTACGAATATATAGTGTATACTTTCCGAGCCGTTCGATCATCTCGAGCAATTATCGCTTCCACTTGTAAAGGCACCCCCTCTTCGCTGTTTCTGTTCTCTATGATCATGTATGACCACATCGAACAATACTTGCTGACGCGGGGTCAAGCGCAATGATATACTTGAACGCACCATAGCCCGATCTGGCGCCGCGGCTGATTGTTCCGCCGGCGCGCTGACAAGCCTCGGTGATGCATGATGCCACAGGTGACATTTAGGAAGACGTGTATAGCTTCTATATCAACTCTTCTGCAGACTCCCAGGTCTACGTACTCCACGACGACTGCTGTTCATCCTGTCCACGCATAATGCACCTCAACAAGGACCATCTGTCCTCTCCTCAGTCAATCTTAACGTATATGCTGGTATCTCTTGTATACGATAGCACCAACAATCAAGCGTCTTCGAAGCGGCACCCTGGGCAGCTCACTGCTTCTACGAGAAGCCCGACAGCTCCGTAACTTTGCTCTGGAGGACCACTGAGCCAGTTCGTCCGAATTCAGGCTTGGATTGATGTCGATGTCTGTGCAGGGCGCTTCTCCATGCTGCGCTCGCGCACAAACCTGATACTCGACCCCATCCAATAAGTTCATCAGATTTAACTAGCTCAAGCTTCTTGCTATCGCATACGAGGGACTGTGGTAGGCGGCATTGCTTAGGGATGATCAGGGATGCCGGATGGCAAGCATTTGGTATCATCCCTGTCCGCCCAGTTGGCCATCGGCTCTGCCTTGGAGAGGTCCGTCGTTCTGAGAGAGGTGGAGGGCTCGGGAAGACTTCGCCGTTCGAGGAAATGCATCGCGACGGGGAACACGGGGCGAGGGAGCTGTAATGGGTTGTCAAGTGATAGCGCACACACCAGGGGCCGACTGCGAAGAGGCTTGATTATTGTTTGCTTCAACCATCGGTTTGCGCATGCTTGCAGTAGCATCAGCAGCGTTCTCCAGATGAATATACGGAGGTTGTGCGCTGTACTGACTGTCTTTGGACAGTTACAGTGTAGTAAGGCGATACGGTGGATGGATTTACCAAGATGCAAAGGCGTGAGCAAAGGTACAGACCGTACGGTGCCCCGAGGAAGCACGCCGTGATCCATCATCTGCTATAACCTCGCATAATCACAAGCCGGACGTATCTGCGATTGATACGCGATAGCTGAAAGGGATTCTGTCCAGTATCACTGTCAACGGTGGATCCATCGAGCAAGGAGGAGAACAACATCACCAAAACGCTCGGATTGCGCTGGACGACGCTCTCCACACCGACGCGCCCAGTCGTGTTTCTATCTACAATCGGATGAGTAAAGACTCAGTCGCTGCCATAGAGAGGATCGAGGAGCCAAGCGCACAAATGGAAAGGGGTAAAGAGGGTCCCCACCTTCCTGTGGGTACGGTGTTGACCCCAGTCGATGACCGCGAAGCCGGGCCGGAAGGGGCGCCCACGGCGTCGATGACAGGCGACTTGGATACAGTGCAGATTCAGGGAAATGCGTATGTAGCGGCAGATGAATGAGAGAGAGAGCGGGGTTGAATATCGTAGAGCTTTGACGAAGAGTGCGCTTCAGGTCGTTGAGCAAGTTCGCGGTCTCTCACCAGTTGGTAGCTATATCTTGTATGTATGTCACGCATCGTAAGGTTCGGCATAACCATATATATTCTCCGTTTCAGCGCCCGTACAGTCGAATGGAAAAAGTGACGTAGATTGTAAACTCCAACACACACAGGCACTTGAGATCAAATCAGTCATTGTGCATTTCCAGTAAGCACGGGGAAACACCCATACCCGATACACCTCTCGAATCCCCACTACCACTCGCCACGACCACCTCATCCTCACCACAAACCGCCCCAAGCGCCTCTTTCACATCGTCAACCTCCGCAACCTGCACACCAACCTCCTTCCCAGCAAGCACAACGAAAGCACCATACTCCTCGAAAACACGTTCCTTCACATAGCCCAACAGCACGCCCGCTGTCCTGTTGCCTAACCGCGCTGCGCTATCGCGGAGATCGCGCGCGAACGCGTCGAGAGAGGCGCATGCGGCGTCTTGGGCGGCTGATGGTGGCGGGCGTGGGATTGATGATGCGGAGGAGAGGAAGGATTGGAGGAGTGCGATTGCGAGGTGGGCGAAAAGGGCGATGGCGTCTTCGACGGCGAGCTTGAGGTCTGCGTCGATAGCCCGTAACATAGCTATGTCAGTACACTCCTTCAAGGGGAGCACGGGACGTAGGGTATACATACATGTTTCGCATCAACGTCCTCTCCAGGCCTCGCGAACTCAAGACTATCATGTACACCAAGCGGCAACATCCCTCTCGCCCTCCCAAGTAAATTGGAAAACGTCTCCGCCGGTCCTCCCTCATTGTTCGTAGGCGTCACCGTACCATACGACATCGTCGGCGGCAGTGATGACGAGACGGAGCGAGAGAGTGGTGGCGCGGTAGATGAGGAGGAAGATGATGCAGGGATGGCACCAAGCCCGAGGTCAAGGGCGCGTGCGATTTCTTTGGGAATGAGGTGGCGCGCGGGGAAGAGGGCGCAGTCGAGTGGAGGGAGACGGAGGCGGCTGGGGTAGGGGAGGCACGTGTGAGTGCGAGCGCTTCGGATGCGAGGTCGGCGAAGATCGCTGGCTAGGGAATATCGTCAGTCCAGTCTTTTGTGGTAGGGATGAGGTATACTGTACCTGCACGAACTCGCCAAGTTGGCTAAGGACCCATGCGGCGCAACCGAGTGTAGGGTACCGCGGTCAAGTTTGGCGCCCAAGAATATTCGAGCGCCTGAATCCTTCTCACGCGGCGGCAAGGAGTTGCCTTGGCGATCCTTGCCTACGTCACCACGTTAGCTACATGCTTTCTTTGCAGCGTACTGAGTACACACCGAGAACTATAACAGATATGCCGGATCGCTGCCCTTGGGCACGAAATCGCGGATCTCGCTCTGGATGGCCGCTGAGCGCGGAAGAAAAGACGGCTGGGAGTAGCGCCGCGACTGGAGGTGCACCGAGACCCTTATACTTCTTCACCTTCGTACCATCTGCAAATATACTTCAGCTTCGATGTCATATGTGCCATGCTATGCAAAGAGCTCACCTGTGTCCGGCATACTCAGCTCCTCGACATCTTCGTCCGGTTTGAACTCGTCAGTGCCAGACACGAGTGCATCGAAGACCATGAGCGCTCTGAGTTCAGCGTAGATCTCGCCCAATGCCGAAAGTCGGCTTTCGTGCAGAATGCGTGGCCGTAAGTCATCGTACAGGCGGTCGCATAGGCCCTCAAGATACGTGCTACCGCCAGATGCCAAAAAGAAACAGGTCGATCGATGAGGTGGCAAACGATACACGCACTGCATGGCTGCACGTCCGGCCTTGCCCTTGAAGAATGCGCCCAAGAGTTCCCACCCGTCGCGCATAGCTCGCGGAGTAGTCCAGATCCTGGACGGGCGAGCGAAAGCAATTCGGCTCGTGTAGGGGCGAGACCACGAAGCGCTGCTTGTAATCTGGATGTCATGACGCGTCAGCATAAGATAAATGAAATAAGCCGTAGAGAATGTAGCTTACCGAGGTACTAAGAGCGTTCGTCTGGCGGAGAAGTATGCGGCACGGCATTCGTCGAGAAGACTGCCAAGGGCTGCAGGGTGCTGTGCGGCTCGTCACTGACAGAAACATCAGCTTGGAGCATGCGGAAGCGAGTACGACGGCAATACCTCGAGTTCACCCAGCAATGGAGGTAGAGGACCGGCTACAGATCGGAAGCGGGTGTACAGGAGATGATGAGTAACGGCTGCGGACACGTCCTCACTTCATCAATCAGTCCGTTTCTAGCATGATGCGAAAGTGTTTATACCTTCTCGCCCAAGCGCTTGCTCACGTCTGCGGTTAAAGCACGCAAACTCCCGATGAAGTACATGCGAATCAACGTCATCGCTGGAACCAGACACTGCGAAGCACGACAAGTACATTTCCGCTTCCCTGTGTAAAGGGTTAGTAAGAGATTATATATGACAGACAGCAGAAGCTCGTACTTGTATCGCCTGTATTCGCGCAAGAAGCCGACACTAGCGTCGACGCGCTCGACGATGTCCAAGAAGTCGCCTCGCATGACTAGACTTTTGCATGGTGCATTCAACATCTATGTCGCACCCCCCAGTTCCGCAAACACTTCCATCCTCCCAGTGATCTCTTCCTCCGCTTTGACCAGCTCCTCTCGCTCGCCGAGTAACCGCGCGCACGCGTCTTACAGGCACCGTTCACCCTCCTTCATGCTTCTCCAGTCAACCAGCATCGCATCCACTTTCACTTGTAGGGCAGATGTCAAGGTCGAGATAAAAGTACAGGTTTCCAGATCGTCAGAGAGCGAAGCGAGATGTGCACGAAAGTAAGCTTCCTAGGAATGCATTGCGGCGCGATCGACGAAGGCTAGCCAGTCATAAAAGGCCTGCAGAGTCGGGATAGACTGCATTAGGACGTAACATGTAAGGCCTTCCGACGGGTGTGGCTGTTCGGGTGCTCATTGCTCTCAGGCTCTTCGAGGACAATAGTGGCGAGCCCTTAGCCAGCGGCGTCCCCTCCCGCCCCCGGACGCAGGATGTGCCTGAGATACTCGCACAGCACGAGTAGCACGCTCCTTGATAGCTTCGACGCTCTGCTTGGCATTTTCCGGTAGGACATCGGGCGTCCCAATCCTCCATGCTCACACCCGGTTTCGCGGGTACCTGGGCCGACGTTGCGGTTGTGCTCAGTGGTGGGCGCGTTGCGCCGTGTTGTCGGCGAGGCATTGGGGAATGGATTTGAGGGTGGTGCGAATACTAGGGAGGATGGCGGGAGTATGGCATGTGGAACGCCATGGTGGTTACAGTTCAAGATGTGGCCCGAACCTGATACTGAACCCCGCTCTCCCTACCTTGGTTCCCGAGTATCAGGAGTCTGCTCGGAGACTATGTAGGAGCGACGCGACTTGCCTCTTGACCACCACCTTCACCCTAATATACGCATTGAATACCTTCCTTATTCTCCCGAGACAGAACACTACCGCAAGGTACCACTTGCGAGCCCACGGTTACATGGGAAAGTACTGCGCGGAAGGGGTAATATTGCTGGAGCACAACGACTCATTTGAAGAGGATACTGCGTGTCCATCTAGAAGACTGTCCCGGTTAACGATCTTCCAGGTGGACGTGCACACGTAGATATGGAAAGCTCCCAAGTAGGTCCTTTGGGCAGGACTGCCTGCAACGACCGGAGACCAAACCGTCTTCCAATTCTCCTCGATCTTTTTCTACGTATGACTGTGTTTCGACATTGGGACTTACGGCGCAAAAAACGGCTTTGAAACCTCGAGCTCTCCTCGCTTCTTACCCTCATCCGCATCTCTAGTCTACGAATGTCTGCGTTCACTGGGACATCGTCGCCCAATAACTCACCAATATTATCTGCTCAACATACCTGGATGCCGCTCGAGATGACGACCAGGCGCGACCGAAGAACCGGGAAGAAAATACCGCGGGAACCTTGACCTGCGTAAGTCGCACTGTCATTTAATGAGAATCGTGCGCTCACTCGCGACACTTTGTAGACTGTTTTGTTCGCTGCAACCGTCGCCGCGTTCACCTTGAGAGTTGCAAGCAACTGTCACCGACATCGGCGAACAGTCGGTGCAACCACTTTACAATTACTCTCCGTCTCGGTTAACGGGTCCTCCCACTTGACTCTTGACGTCGTGCCGCTTGCTTCATTCCCCACTGCACCTTCTGCGATCGTCACAAACGCGCTTTGATTAACGAGCCTGCTCCTGTTCCTGTTCTGCGCCAAACTCTCGACACTCGCACAACAATGGTCCCGCGACTACGTACACGACATCAACAAGCGCAGAATTCTTCACGAAGACCTCGAAACCCGCGTCTGCAACCATATTTTCATCCGCATGGGCATCAACTGCTACGGAATGAACCAGCTCGTATCGTGGATCGTGGCCTTAGTGCACCTCTCAGCATCCCTCTTCGTCATTGGGCTCGCGGTCTTTCTATCCCCCATAAACACCGCCGTTGCGGCCATAACCCCCGGCGTTCTTGGGTCGTTCGCTATGCTGTACTGTCTAGCAAGCCTACTCCCATTGATCGACAAGAGCTGCCCGTATCGCACTCCTTTCACGTATGTGATTGCCCACGGCTACTGGATCGGACTCCACGTCTGGCCAACACACCAGGTGATCTGGACGCATGCATTCCCCTTCTCAACCTCCGAAAGCGCTCGCATCTTAGCGCTACCGCGCGCGCCCGCAGTTGACATACTATCACGTCGCGGCGCATTCAAGACGGGAAGCAGTTCTCGCCTCAGGCGACGATTTTCCTTTGGGATTGCCCCGGCCGTCATGTCCCAGCCGAATTCTTGGAGTACACGGACAAAGGGTTCCTCGCCTTGCTCTGCGGGCCGGCAGACTAGCACATACACAACCACCTGTGCGCTGACCACGCGTTCGCGAAGAGGCTGTACTCGCATATGAGAAGCCGCATGAAAGACGCTATCGATCCCTCGCTCTTCACCTTATTCGCTCCTCTATCGGAACGAATGTTCCGCTCAGAAGTCGAGCGTGCGGTTGCGGCGAAGCAGCTACATCGGCGTCTGATTGACAATTCATGCTTCCTACGGTGACGTCGTCATTGGCACGTGCAAAGCAACCGCCAACAGGGGTCTCAGTAAGGGTTGGCGACAAAGATGCCCGCTTTCTAATCCAACGGAACGTGCTTGATAGACAAGGGGACAAGATGCCTCGCAACAAAGGTACTTAGGAGAGACACCGAGTTTCTTCATGGGCGGCAGGGGAAAGGATCCGAAATCGTTGTCGTAGCGTGGTGCTGAGCGTTCGACTCATTCGCCAATAGGCCCGCAGAGTAACCACATAAGGAGGGTGAGATTGGTGTTCGCGAAGGCGTGCCTGTAGGTGACCACACCGTTTTGACTCACGCAAGTGCCTTCGATCTCGATATATAGAAGTTCGCGCGGAATACATGCACAGTAGTAATACGCATAACAATCTACATCCCATTCAGGTGGCTTCATTTGCGTTGGCCAGTTCGGTCATCATTGCTGCGAGTCCCAGTGAAGCATCCCTCAAGGCTTTCAGACACCATTTCCTGACAAGCGTACCATACGCAAAAGCCATCAGCATACCATTTTGTATGTGGTGATGAAGGACGGAGGACTGCTTTCTAATCAGCACTTCCAAGACAGGATGCGACGCGGATGACACGTACCCAGGCAAAAGTGATCGGGCCCTTTTGGAAGATAATAGTTCAGTGGAAGTGGTCTCGTGACGAAATGAGTCGTCACTCACAACGCAGTTCCAGACAGATGGTTGGCGAACGAAGACAATCGCGAGGAAAACAACTAGGCAGGCACTGATGATGTAGAGATGCAGCACCGCGAAGGCGGCCATAGATTCAACGCTCTCTTGAAGGTAAAGCCGCTAGAGTAGAGGTCTGTCATCGGCTTCGGGAGCGGTGGGGAAATGTTGAGCTCACACTGAAAATATTGACATGCCGAATGAATACGGCGCTGAGGCGTTGATCTCACGATGAGGAGCTAGTGAGTCTTGTGCAGAACGCGAGAGAGTTATTGCTCACCTTGTTGGCTGGTGAAGACGAAGATCTGGTTCTGTTTCGTACCCGCTTCCGAGTTGATGACACTGGCTAAGTATCCGACGTGCCGCGTCGCCTGGGCCTAGCCGCGCAATGAGTCATCGATTCGGGAGCACATGAACAAGCCTGAGCTCACGGCTATCAGTTGGGTCGTATTGACTGTCACGCTTGGCTCAGGAACAGCTCTCGCCACAGATGAGAGAATAGACGCACCTCCCTCAACAGGGCGCAGTTCCTGCTGAAGCATCCCCTTCGCATCCCATACCCTGACTACACCCTCGGCAGATCCGCAAGCTATAGCGCTGCCATCCAGAAGAATGGCAACGTGTGCTGGTGTTGAATGGTCAAGTCCATCCTGTTGATAGGTGACGCTGATACGTGGTCGTCGATCCGTATCCTTGAGATGGTATAGTTCGGCCTTCCCTCCCATCAGTGAAACAAAGACAAGACGGAAGTCTTGCGATACAGCGGTATACCCACTGTATTACGCCCGTTAGATGAGACAAACGGCATCAAGTGTATACTGACATCGTACAAGGGTCGGGGAAGATCTGCCACAGGGGGGTTTCTTGCTCGACATCCCAGCACCTAAAACAAGACCAGTCGGTGTCTACACTCCAGAACGTGACAATAACGTACACTATACCATGAACCAAGTATGAGACGATCAACCTTCCGGCACCACGTTGGAGGTGAACAGTCCTAGGTCGTACATAGACTCGGGCGTGAACATGGGGATGGTTATGTGGGCGCGGAAGAACCCTCGTCGTCACATAGTCCCCTGATTGATGAGACAAGCACTGCGGGCCATTGCGTAGAACTACTCACCAGAGCTACCAGACGCGTTGGCAAGATGAACCTCCGGCCCCACGGCCAGCGCAAGCACGCGTGTGGCGCCGTCTAGATCCATACTATTAATCACGTTGAAGGTGCCCGTCTTGATCTCGAAGTCGTCGTCTTTCTGTCTCATTGTTCATAATGGTCCCCATAGTTATCAAGATGAATGAACATACAACAAGGATGTCGGGAATGAATGAGCCAAAGCCTCGAGTCCTGCCGATGAAGAGCGTCCGGAGGTTGAAGGGTGCCCACAGCAGCGATGCGACGGCACCCACGTCGTGGAAGACCGCCATCTTATCACCAGTAGCAACATTCCAGACGATCACGTTGCCATCCTCATCGCCGCTGGCTAGATAAGCACCTGTTGGAGAGAAGGCGATACTGATGATGTCAGAGTCGTGTTCCGATCCGGCCTGCAAGACGCGTGACTGTGAATACACGAGCATGACGACGTTTCAGCAGGGAAGGACAGAAGTGCAACTTGCAAGATCCTCGATGGGCGAATAACTTATAAGCTTCCGGGGTCCGAGTAGCGAATCCATGCCCATCACCCGGGCCCGCCAGTTGCTTTGTTCTTTTCTTCTCACACAATCACCCATCAGAGCCCTCGTGCTGCGTGCCGATTCCGCATGGACTAGGCAAAGCCGCACCACGTCGGCCCATCGGAACGAGCGCGTTACGGGAAGCCACGTATGTATGATGGTTGCTTATAGTCAATCTTGTATCGTTCCATTGCACAATCACTCAATCACACATGCGATACCTACGCGATAGGCCAAATTATGGGATACAGAGAGCCCACTTCGAGAGAGTTATTAGCGAATCATCGCCTGCATCATAGTTGCCCTGACTTACACGGTGCGAAAGTGTATGGTATAGGCGGGATCTTAATTGTCCGAGCAGCCAGCGCTATGCCGATCGGAACCACAGCACAGAAGAAGACATAAACCACAAATGTTCGGACAAATGTCTGCCTCTGGAAAAGAGTTCCATGTCAGCGTAAGCAAGGTTGAAGTATCGAGCCGAGCAGATAACCAACCTTGGTGCTCCAAAGAGACACGGACGGCAGGGCACCGTAGCTCGATCCGGCGATGTATTCCACCCCGTCTGTCGTCGCACCACACTGGCGCGATCAGTACACAGAATTGGCGAATCTCGCATGGCTTACTGAGAGTGCTTGTAACCCAGGCCTTTTCCCATCCGAAGCGATATCCCCTAAGTTAGTCAGTGCACGAATGAAGACGAGAAGTTGAACATTCTTACCAGGTATGTGGTTCAGAGTCCAGATAGGCAGTTCCTCGTCCGACAGAAGGTCCCAACAAGCGACCTGTCCGAGGTCGGAACCGCACAGGGCTAGTCGTCCAGCTTGAGCGGAGCACACCCTCCGCATGAACATGCTACGAAGGGGGCTAGAGAAACGCAGTGTATCTCGAGCGCATATTTGGTGATTCTCAAGCTTGAGTTTCTTGACCACCATGACGTCTACTGCATACACCAACAAACATCTCTGTTCGGGGACCCAGGACAGGCTGATCCTATTTCATTGGGCATGTGTCGGTGCAGGAGGAGACAATACGATGGCGAGACAACGCACGGTTTGAAAGTGACGTGGAGATCGTGCATCACAGACCAAGGATCTGAGGCGTATAGACGTCTGGTGGAGTCATGTTAGCAAGCTGGGCCGGAGAGACGGAAGAGAGCACGCACATGATGCGAGCGTCGAGATGAGAGACGATCAGTGTATTTCCCGCATCAC